CAATGGCACCATTAACAAAACTGCCAGCTAGTCAAAAACTAAATAGGGTGGTTTGAAAAATATTTAGTACTGCCCGTTAATATTCACAGGGCTCTGGGGAATCAAGAACTTTCAATGACTCAATATTTATAAATGCTACTGTTGTCCTCCAAACATGTGTCTGAGATTCCTGAGGGACAGTGGGAACTTTTGGCATGAGGAGGGTGAGAGTATAGGAGTTTTAAATGGAGAGTAGTTAGGAAAGCAAAATTAAATACATATAAATGAGCACTTGGTGGTCTTGAATTTAAATGCCACTTGAAAATGATTGGGAAATCTGACCTGTGTGGGCTATTTCACTTCATTTATCAATTTGGACATAGAGAAAACATACAAAAATGCACAGCATTCCTGGTGGCCAAGACACTTTTGTCTTTTGATTTGAAATTGTGCTGCTTTACCCCTGCAGATGCCAATATTTTAAACTTTGAATATGGAATATCAAAATAGCTAAGTTGGTGTTTACAACTCTGATGGTGTAATCGAAACTCCAAATGTTCAAGAAACAATAACATTAGTGAGGTGAAGTCAACTCTAAATTAAAAGTCAGTGTTTCCATTACCCACTCTAACAGCATTTTCAGGGGTTTATATAACTTTAATCATTAAACACAGCTCTAGGCTGAAAACCTGGTCTGTGTCGATCTTGGACTAAACAAGTTTGCATGGCCCTGAAGTTTGTCTATTTTTATCCTTTTTTAAGAATGTCTTCACCTTAAATGCTACCCACGTACTGAACCAAAAAACTTATAACACTTGATGAACCTATGGTATTACATACATCACTCATATGTTAGAAGAAATTTACAATTTCTATAAACTCGCTTCAAGGTGCTGGTGGTTGAAAGCAAATAGTTCTCATTTTTTTTTTCTAAATCCATCTTTAGCATATCCCTTCTTTGGCTTGTCAAAATCATTGGAACTTTAACTTTCATAAAAATGAAGTTTAAATTAGAATTTAACTTGGTAGAAATGAAATTGACTTCTATGAATTACATTAGATTGACTCTCTCTGGAGAAGGATAGAACTTCTATGGGCACGTCAAAAAGGAAGGAAAGACGATATATTAGATTTGGAAATGGCGAAGTTACACTGTAGCACCAACTAAAAATAAAAGGTATTTGTGAGTGAGTTAAAATATCTATGATAGAGACACAAAGAGAACGTGGTGTTAAGAGGTCCAAATATCTGGGATGTAAGGTTGGTAGAGGCAAATTTCCCTTGCCAACTTTGGATTGGCAAGAAATGCTTAGGAAGAGGCATGCCAAGAGACTGGCTCTGACTACATTTGAGATGGTCACCACTCTTCATCACTGATAAATACAGACTTATGCATGCTGTTGATTGGGATCCATCCAAAGTATCTAGGTAATTCTGCTCCTTGTTTGGGGCAGTGGGGACAAGCAAGAACAAGTTGGTGTGTGTTTGTGTGCATTTTAAGTATGATGTGTGCATGTGTCTATATTTAGTCTATATGTCTGTCTGCCTCTGACTATAGCTTATAGGGAATATTATACATAAAGAAAATGCAAATGTGAAGAAGGGAATATTGTTTAACATTTTATAATACACTTTTATTTTGACATTTATAGAACTGTGGAAAATAATCACTTTGAATTTTAAAAAAGATTCATAAACGTTATAGATCAGAAAACAATGATGAACTTCACTTCCTAATCTGAACACCCTCTGTGTGGACTTTTCTCCAGTGTTAGCACCTTAAATTATTTGCAGTAGAGGGCAAGGTAATTATTTATACATCTGGCAAGATGGTGGCAGAGTGAAGGCAGGCTAATTTGCTGCAGAAGAAAGTCAAGAACCACTGAAAGATGAATACACAACTATAGTGCACATCAGGAGAAATGATATATTGGAAAGGGGAAGGAAGAAGTGTTCATTGCTCTGTGTTTATGGTGATACAGGTACATCACTACCCACACAAGGGAGGGGTAGCTGTGCCGAATGCGGCTACAGCTGTGTTGGGGCACATACCCTGCATGGAGAACTATGGAGACCCAAAGCTGCACTGCATAAGAGGATACACAGAATTGGCATTCAGGAGAAGGGTGTACTGTCAATTAATGATAAGAACAAGGGTGTAGAGTGATAGTTACTGGCTTGAGCCTGAAGCTCTCAAGTTGATGAGAACCAGGTGGCATCTCTTTTGTCTTACAGAAGTTGCTACTACATGCAGCCCAAGGCTAAGATACTCAAAACACCTGTCAACTCCACCCCTGACATCCCAAGGCTAAACCAGATAACAATTGGCCAATTTCACTAAACAGATTAAGCATATGTTCACAACAGGAGCAAACACTTTAGGGCAAAGTGTAAACTCTTTTGCTGTTGGTGGGAATTTTCAGCCTCTGTGAAAAACAGCATGGAGTTTCCTCAGAATATTAGAAATAGATTTATCATGTGATTTAGGAATCCTTCTTCTATTATCTACCCAAAGAATATAAAAATATTAATTAAGAGGGATATATGCACTCTGTTCAACACAGCACTATTTACTGTAGACAAACTATGGGAACTACATATGTGCTCAATGACACATGTGGTATATAAACACAACATGTTCAGCTATCCAAGAAGATAAATCCTTGTTATTTGCAGCAATATATATTTGAAATTAGTCAGAAAGAGAGCAAGAAATAATGGAGGATTCACTCACATGTTTTATATAAACAAAACAAAGGAGGAGATGAAACAAAACTAAAATAAATTCTAGAAATGGAAGCATAGACTAGAGGTTGCCAAAAGGAGAGAAGGTGAGGGTGGGAAATGAAGGGGAGAAAAATAGAGTACAGTGGAGGGTTATGGGTATCTTTGTGGCAGGTGTAGTGTGGAGACAATACATCTGGAGAGGTGTGGATGCATACCTCTGAATCACATATATTGTTAGAAACAAACTATTACTCAATACAAATAATGAAACAAAAATAAATTGAAATCTTATGAGCTGTAATGCATCTTGTGATTAAACACTTCTGGTGATAGGGAAATTGAAAAACTCATTATTCATGAAACCTTTAATTTGGACAACATTTGATGGTTTTAGAGTACGTTCTTATGGTCCTAGTAGTGCCTTATTAAGACATATAAAATAAATATTTTTTATTGAGAAATGCTACAAAATATTACTGCTAACAGTTCTATGAAGTCCAAAAAGATTTGAACATAGCCAAACGCATGCTCTTCCTTGTATTATAACTGAAATGCCAGTATTTAAACATTGTATTTTATCAAACTCATAGTCATGACATGATTTTTACTGAACATCAAACCACATATTAGCAACAGAATAATATTCATCCATGGAATAATATTCATCCAGGAATAATGTTCACATGAAAAAAGAATGATAAATATTCCAACTTGGATGAACCACAAAAATATAATTTTATGTGAAAGAAGTCAGATACAAAAGCTCACACATTGTATGATTCTGTCTAGAGGCAATGTCCATAACAGGTAAATCTCAGAGAGTCAGATTACACTGGTGGTTTCCTATGGATGGGTGGTGAGAGAATGGGGAATAGATGTAACTTTTGGGGTAAAGGAAAACATCTAAAATTAGATAGTAATAATGGTTGTACCACCTAGAAACTGCTGGAATGTGTACATTAAATGGGTGCATTATATGAAACAGTCACACAATGCTTAATAGTTTTCAAGTGCCTTAATAAAAGGAACAAATTCTCTGAACTGCATTACTAGGTGATTTTGTCACTGTGCAAACATCATAGGGTATAATCATACAAAGCTAGACGGTATAGGCAGCTATGTTCCCAAGTAGTAAGGTCTAGCCTGTTAGAATCATTGGCTACATGGGTCTGTAACTGAAGAAGATGACATTGAGGAATATGTGACTACATATAAATTGTATTTATATTAAAAAAGAAACAGTAACCATATCTTACAAACAGGTTTAAGTCAAAATTCATTTTTATAGGCGTTGTTATCAAAGGAGCTCAGAGCTGAATAAAATGGCCAAAATGCATAGTAACTTTACCTCTATAAAGTGTAGCACCTTGGACTATTATGCAGTATGGAATCACGAAAAATTTGATTGTGTATTTTACTAAAGAGTCTCTCAATAGTTAAGTTAATCCATTAGAAATTTAACCTTTCTAAAGTACAGGCAAAGGTAGATTTATTCCATGTTACTTCTGCTCTCACTTACTTCAAAGTTCGGGAATTTCAAACCCACAAGTGGATAGCTCAGAGGAAAACTGACAGCTTAAAGCTGTTATTATAGTCTGACTCAAATATCTCAAGTCATTTTGTTTCACATAAAATATGTGGATTATATTCCATTTAGTTGAAATGCTGCTTTTCAAATAACAATCACACATCCTACAAAATCTGAAGTAGAATTTACTGATAGCGGGTTTTTTTTTTTTAAAGGACTACCTAGACAGAGAAAAAGATGACTTTTTCGAATCAAAATATATCTCAATGTACTTCAAATTATATTGTGTATAAAACATAATTTTCAATGGATAGAAATAAAGAACTCCAAATTTGAAAAGGAAACTGGTTGACATTACATCTTTCCATAAATGTATATGCAATCTTATTGTATGTTTTGGAATAGAAATAAAGTCACTGTCACATAATGCTTTTCAATTTATATATGTTTTTAAATGTGTTAGAGATTGTATATGTCTCAACATCTGAATCTCCAGGGATTGTACGTAAATCTTGTTTTTTTTTTTTTTTTTCAGAGTAAGCCCAAGAATAATATCCTGCATACTGATAAGCTGCCTTGAAGGTTTGTTAAATAAAATGCCTACATTATTTAATTCTCCACATCAAAATTTCTTTCCATGGATGCAGAGTATATCGAATAGCCAAATGACCAAAGATTATAATGTAGTCATTGCATAGAATTCAATGAGCATTAGCCACATAGCTTTATTAGTCAGATCTAACACAAAAAGGCAAATGACACTCACAGTTGTAGCCAGGTGCGATACGGTGCTGAGCTTCAAGGCTAGCCAATGTGATGTGAAAAATGATGTGGAGGAACAGGAAGGAGAGACTGGTGAAGCACAGAGACTTTAGTAAGCGTCCCGTATGTCCTAGGGAATGAAAAGCACAGGCACTGTGAGGGAATGCAAGATGAAACACACTCAACTGACCTTAGCACAGTTCCAATTAGATCATGTTTCTGTATAAACAATTAGATAAACTGATCAAAAGTATAAAGTGTGGCAATTACTTTCTTATCGATGTAAAGCTAAGTTTCTCAATCACTTCATAAGATTGCACCATTATCAATGATCAAAGGTTTAATGTAAAATAAAGATGCTTTTCTATTTATCATATGATATTTTACCAAAAATGAAATCACAAAAAGCCTTCAGGCCTGGAAAATTTTACAAAGGAGTTCTGTTAACTTTGAAGGAACAGATAATCCCTATTTGACAAAAGTAGTTCCAGAAAGTAATAAAAAAAAAAAAAAAGGAAAGTTGCCTAAGACATTTTACAAAGTTAGAGTAACTTTTATTTCAAAATTAAATAAGGATAAAAAAGAAAAGAAATGAAAATTCCAAGTCCACTTTATGAGCAGAGATACAAACTATTAAACAAATACACTTTCTAGTCAACTGAAGAAGCATAGTAAAATATAATACATCAAAATAAACTAGGGTTCATTGCAGAAGAACAAGTATGGCTTAAAATTAAGACACATAGTAGTGTGTTGATGGTCCAAATTTCTCAGTAGATACAGAAACGGACATTATTTACTCTAATTTGTTAATTCTTTGATTTATCCTATAATAAAGCTTTCTGTGAATTGATTAATGAATTGCTTCAACTTTTTTTAACCCAGAGATGGAGAGGAACAAGGATCTAAACTCAGCTGGAAGACTACCATTCTGGGGCCGTGCTGGTTACTGGTCATGCAACTTTGGGGAGCTGTTAAGATAAGCCCCAATGTTCTTGAAACCTTAACATTTTGTATATAAACACATTTCTCATCCTGTAGCTATCATGTTTATATAACATTTTTATATAAACAAATTTTATTTATGTGTAAAACATTTATAAGACAAACATATGACATACTTATGTATCTAATACTTATGTGTGTTTTAAATTTATATTTATATACTGATAAATATATCAGGTAAATAATGTATACATTTCTAATTTTTGTGATTATATATTTAAATAAATACGTGTAAAAAAACAGATCTTTGAGCTCTAACTGGAGATTACAATATCTTATTTCAACATAAAATCCTATTTTAGTGGTAAGAAAATTACACGATACTGTCTAAATGATTTGATTACTTATCTTATGTCAGGAGAGAAAAGGAATTCACTTAAAATATTGATATAACCTAAATTGCATATCTTTCAGTTCTAATTCAACAAATCCATAGGGGAGAGAATGATTTTTCAATAGCCCACAAGTATCCGTTAAAACTTGTGCAATATTTATCCATAAGGCCAAGCTATAGGATGAAAAACCACATGCTCAGATTTAATTCTTCAACCATTCGCTTAACCACCCCAGTCCATCCAGTAGTAATTACCTCTGTGTTTCTACTATAGTGACACTCCTCATGCTATGAACTCAGGGTATTTGTTCTTTTGTTTTCAATGTTGGCTTGGAAGCCATTGGATCATGTGGCCCCTGGGTATAGAAGCTCTCAGGTAAAATGTGTAATTGTCATAGAAATTATACTAGAAGGTACATTTATAAACATAAGTAAAACACATCTTTCATTCTTTATATCTGCCTAACTTTGGACATAATATCACTTTGGCACATAGTCTGTTATTTAAATAAAAACATAGCTTAAATTAAACTGAATTTGTACAAAATAATGAAAAGTTCAGAATAAGTAAAAGTAGGGTGCAACTGAATTAGTATTTGATTTCTTCTCAATCCTACTGTAGTTACTGTGCTTCCATTGAGAACAACTAAGGATTGATACACAA